TATGTAGGTTATCTCCAACACCCTCCACACAATTTGTGTTGAAAGAAGCCTTTGAGGCACTTAAGGATCATGTACTTTTGCTGTGGGATGGTCTGTATGTCAAATATGTTGCTGATTGGTCAATAAATAAAACACTGATTGGCCATTGGCTAGGCAGGAAGTGTAGGTGGGACAAGGAGGAGAATAAAGCTGGGAAGTGGAAGGCTGAGTCAGAGAGACACTGCCAGCCACCACGATGACAAACAGCATGTGAAGATGCCGGTAAGCCACGAGCCACGTGGCAAGGTATAGATTTATAGAAATGGATTAATTTAAGCTGTAAGAACAGTTAGCAAGAAGCCTGCCATGGCCATACAGTTTGTAAGCAATATAAGTCTCTCTGTTTACTTGGTCGGGTCTGAGGGGCTGTGGGACTGGTGGGTGAGAGAGATTTGTCCTGACTGTGGGCCAGGCAGGAAAACTCTAGCTACATACTTTTTTTCTCCATTGCTTTTTTTTGGAAATGTCAGCACATCACTTCATCTTTGTCTCAGTAGCCATTATTTGTCTACATCAAATAGGAATATCTTTCTCTTGGCATCATGTCATTATGTCTTAATGCTTATTACTGATGATGTATCCCCAGTGCTCTTGTTTGGATAAAAGTATGAGTTTGTTAAGGATTCATGTGTTAAAAGCATAGTGCACGTGTTGCACATGTGTTAATATTAAGATAAGAGGATGGATTTAGTGAGAGGGCCCTGGGTCATTGGGGTACTGTCCTAGGGATAAAAGTAGCTTTTGTGGGTTACCAGTTAGTGACTATGATAAGAGAGCTATCCTAGCTCCTCACTTCTCTTTGCTTCTTGGCCCAGCACATGATCTCTCCAGCTCACATACACTCCTTCCATGATACCGTCTGCTATGACTAGACACAGCCAAGGGAAGTCCTTGTTAGAACCTGCATCCTGTTGTTTGGACTTTCAGCTCTCAAACTGTGAGCTAAATAAATCAGTTTTCCTCACAAGTTACCTCTCATCTGGTATTTTGTTTCAGTAACAGGAAATAGAATAATAAACCTAACATCCTGATTGTGGCCAATTTCAGAGCCTTACTATAGTCATTTCCAAATTTCCAACCCTTTTTGGTTTCAGGTACCCATCTAGATGGTGCAAGTGTTCTTATATTTTTTGCAGGGATAACTATTTCTTAGTGTTTCATATGCGTTTTAGTATTGAACACATTGAACTGAATGCAACAGCCAAGTCTGATTATTCACTGGTATTCAGGGATAATATGGAGACGAATAGTACTGGAAATATCTCCTTTCTGAAGACACACCTTTTCAGGTGGCATCTGATGAAATGCTTCAAATTTATCATAGTGTGTTAGGGACAAAAGCAGTTCATTTTTCCCAGAGCCTCTTCGTCTTGTCATAAAATCACTAGGACACAATAAGTACATTTATCATGGAGCGATTAGAAAGGTTCACTTTGACATTTCAAGAGAGGATGGTTATAAGCATTCTTTCTTAGAGATGCTGAAGATCGGTGAATGGATCAGCTAGGCCCAAGGAGCTACTAGAATGCGGTATTTTGCTATCTCCAAAGTTAGACGATTGAATCACACAACTAGAGACCACTTCTCCATATTATAGTTACAATTTTGTTTATAATATCTTATATACAGAATTTAAAAGCTTTGTGATCAATTGCTTCATGTGTCAGTAAACTTTGCTATTGTTTTATTTTAAATGGAAGCTTTCTAACAGTTAAGTATAAATAGCATTATTTAATAAAAATGTACTTACTTGACCTCTTCAATTATTAATAATTTGCTAATCACTCTTCATTTCTCTAGTCTTTTCCTGCAATATTTTAAAGTACTTATTGCTTCATACCTAATACCTCAGGCTGTACTTCTATTAATAAGATCTTTCTCTCACTATATTTGAATTTTTCTTTGTTTTGTGAATTTTATGCATGTATAAAATAAAATATAAATAATCTCTAGTCCCAATATCTAGCTCTCACATCTCCCTAAAGGTATTCTCTGCTAATGTTATATCTTTTTTGTTTTGTTTTAATAATACAATAAGTCCAGTTAGTGCAACTGAGAAACTTCTTTTGCACTGGGCAGCAGGAAATAGAAAGGTGTAACCAACCCAGTGCTGAATGTAAAAGTCTGAGTGCCCAGTCAGGCATGATGGCACATGCCTTTAACCCCAGCACTCAGGAGGCAGAGACAGGCAGATCTCTGAGTTCAAGGCCAGTCTGGCCTACAGAGTGAGTTCCAGGACAGCCACAGAAAACAAAACAAAACAAAAATAGTGTTGATTCTCAGTCCTAAACAAGACATCTCTATTAAACCTTTCACCACTAAGGTCAGGTATCATCACAAAGGAGGAGTCATAAAGAATGCAAGGGCCAGAAGATGGGGTGGAGTGTTGTGAAACATAGTCTTCTAGACATGCCATGGCTGTCTCCCACTGATTTTCATTTTATTTTTTTATAAAGCAAAGATGAAGTTTTTGAAGAAATTATTTTAATATAGATTTATGCATGGGTATTAATAGGGCTGTAAAGGAGAGGGCCTCACACATCCAACTGTGAATGTGGGCTTCTTAAGAGAGAGAATTGCTTCATGCATTTTTCTTTTATAGAAGGATAACCACCAGCTGCTGTCACAAGTAGTTCAGCAGACAATAATGTTTTCAGTTTATTTAAGCCCAGACAATATTTCAATATTTGAATTCCTCAAATTATGTTTTTTGAAGATGTGTGTGTGTGTGTGACAAAATTTTCATGCTGTGTTTAATAAGGTAACTCTTTTTATTATTAAAAACATATTCCATCTCCTACCCCACTTCTTGCCATTTATGCCATTAGTATATTAGGGAAATTAAGTCATTCATCCATAGACTGCCATGTTTCACTCTCGGCCAATATGGTGTTGACTGTCTTGTTACCCAGTCCACTATAATTCCTGTAGCTGTAATTTTGTTCACAAAATTACATAGATTTAGGCTGAACTGCTTCAGACAAGCTCAGTTCTCAGGTAGTGTGTCCCTTCACAGTTGCACAGTGTCTGGTTGTGCCAGGTATTTTGAGACTTCAAGGCTGGGCCATGTGCTCAGGCTGTATTAGTTTAGACCCTAATATAAAGTTTGTCTTCGCTCTTCCTCAAATGAGCTCCTTTCTTTATGCTTGCTGGCAAAAGATTTATTTTCCATGACTAACATACTTGTAACTTCTTGGTTCAGGCATACTGCAAGTGCATCCCTGGTCTGAACACTACTCCTTTATCCCTAGTTATGCTTACATTTCATGCTTTAACACCCCCCTCCTTTTTAAATGTTCTTTACTCTCTATTTCCCCCAGTGTTCTTACATGATCTATTAGTTTTTTTTTTTTACAGTCATTATCTTGTTTACTAAGTAGACTTGTCAATGTTTTAGATATAGACCTTCAGAGTAAAGTTCAGACACATTTCAAATTACCCTCCTTTGCAACATTGCACGTGTAATAGGCAGCATCCATTTGCCTGGTTCTTGTGCCTTTCTCTATAAAGTCCTGAAGACCTAAGTAGGTTACCTGGACAAACTTCATTGATTGGTCAGTGACCTAGTTATACACCTACAGCCTTGTGTAATAAACCCTTAATATTTACTATTTCGTTATATTTTCATTTTTAAAATCCCACTTTTTAATGAGACAAATATGTTCTTATGTAACCCATTGAATATCATTTTTTAGTGCAAATGAGTCCTTTACCCAGAAGCTGTTTTGGTTGGAGACAGAAAACTATTCAGAAAAAGTATTTGAGATAACAGACAATCCTTTAGGCAGAAATTCAACTGGAAGGTATTTATTTTCCAAACAAGTCTATGCATTTCCATTAACTTTTTTCTACCTCTCTGTGAGAGGACATTGTAAAAAAAAAATAGTAATAATGGACATCATTCCATAAGTGCTACTTGAGCGCCAGCCACAACCCCAGACTGCCCAGTCCCAGGCTTCCACATAGGATATGAATGTCTGAAGATCACAGAGTAGTCAGAATATATGTGAAGTGATGGTCTCTTAGAGACGATCTCTGTCACTTTCTCCTGAGAAGCCTGAAAGCCATCACCTTGGCAATTTCTACACTGCAGCAAGGTTTCTCAAGCTAAATGCTTTTACTCTGGTGTCTAAACTTGAGGCAATTGCTTATAAAAAACCTGAGCTCTTTATGTGACATACTAATGACATCCCCAGAAAGTAGAGAAACTAGCACTCACCATGATCGAAAAATGCAAAATGAATACATATAAACAGGAGTAGGAACAAGGTCAGTGCCATGGGGACATGCTTCTCTTGACTAAGATCATTATAGACAGAGAGCAATTGGGTGAATAATCCCATACCCAGAATGGACTTTTTGCCATGTAGTAACGTATAGTAATTGACTAATTATATTTTTTTTGACTATTTATTTGGTAGTTAGGACTAATTGATATCAATCAAATTTATTTATATACATTTTCTTTTAAAAATATTTTAAAGAACTTATTTTTATTTCTAATTGTGTTTATAAACTGGGGTTGTATATGTGAGTACAAGGCCTGCAATGTCCAGAAAAGGATGCCAGACCCCATGGAGCTGGAGTTATAGGTCATTGTGAACTGCCTCAAATTGGATGCTGAGAACTGAACTCTGGCCTTCTGTAAGGGTCTTATGTGCTCTTAACTACTGAGCCATCTTTCCAGTCCCTGTACACATTTTCAAATCTGAAGGTTCTATTCTGCCACTATGAAGGTCAGCTTCCAAAACAGATGGTCTAGACCTTCTGGGTGTTGCAGTGAAGCAGAGATGATGCTAATGTTCCTTACATACCCCCTTCCAGGTGTGGAGAACAGTTTTGCAAGAATCAACTGCTGTGCTGCACTAGATCAACACTCACCAGACAGTCGACTTGAAGACCTCACATCACTGAGCAGCCAAGTCACAATAAACTATGTGATTTATATATTTCTTCCTTACCTGACCACTGGAAACAGGACCATAACAATAGAACTTTGGTCATCTTCAAAGTAATTCTTGTTTGTGTTTTTGTTATGTGATTTTTATCTTTCTGCAAAAAAAAAAAAAAAAAAAATCAAACAAACGCTCCACCAACACATATAGCAAATAATTCAAGTCAACTCTTTTTCTCCATTTCCCGCAGTGTAGAGGAGCAGTCCTGAGGGCTTGGGCATCATAGGCAAGCACCTCCTCCCTGCTTAGCTGTGCTCCCAGCCTGCAAGTGAGCTCTCTCTGCAGCTATTAAAGTCGTGGGGATTTAGGCTGAAAAGGTTAGACTAAAGCCTCTGAAATTTGCCCAATTTTCTGCTTGCATCAGTGTGGGGGCTCAGCTGTGTGTGGAGTTAACAACTCATGCCCGAGCTTCACTGAAAGGAACTTCGGGGATCATGTAGTTTATGTTCTGTCTGGAAGCAAGACCAGCAGGAATTCAATTTCTCGGGGGTTGGCAATGGAGCAGCCTTAAGAATAGACTAAGGAGATGCTTTTGTTTTTATTTTCACTATGGTTGTTCCCTTCTCTACAAGTTCTATAGTCATGTTACTTTAGGCATCTATTCTGCCATTTATAAACCATAAAATTTTCTGTGTCATGATTCTGAAGAGGATTTTTAGACTCATTTCTGTTGTCTTTTTCCTGCAGGGCTCCCTTTAAAGTATGCTTACAAGAAGAACAAAAATTAGGAGCTGTGAGAAAAGAGAACGTGTGTGTGTGTGTGTGTGTGTGTGTGTGTGTGTGTGTGTGTGTGTGTGTGTGTGTGTGTGTAGGAGAAAATCAGGAGTTTTGAGGTTGCTTTCTTTATTGCCTTCTGGAAATCACCAGTAGCTTTCCTTTGCCCTCCTTTCTTCCTCTTCTTTTGGAGTAGTTCAGTCATTTTTATACAATTTTGTTTACATAAAAGACCATGTAAAACTTTCATATACAGAGGAAGCTGGATAATGTTGTAGACAGGTTTCCCTGGGGACTTGAAGGGTCTCAGAATTACCAGTTTGTTTTTTTTTTTTAACTTTTCCAAGGTTAGCTGCCTAGGAAGGGGAGGCAGGATTTGAGGACATTAAAAGTGATGCACATAGGCAGGGTCTTTTCTATAGAAAACGGTTCATATTGCATTTTGCCACAAATGTTGAATGTTCTGTTGTAAACATGTGCCCCGCCCAGAATCTTCCCTTCCCTTTCTCCTTTCCTTTCATTTTTGGTAGGAAGTGGCTGCAGTCTAAGGTGATATGCTGCTGTGTGTCCGAACTTGCCTGCTTCCCCAGGGAGACTGAAAATGCCAGGCACTCGTCTCCCTCGCACCTCCTCCATGAGGCATGAGAAGGATTTGGCTTGGTCAATAGTGTGTCCTTAGTGTAGTGAGTGATAGGCAGCAGCCTGGCGGCTCAGCTCCCCAGGGCAAAGGTCCCAGCGGCAGCTCTCTGAGTACAGAGGTGGGTAGGGGCATAACAATAGCATAGGACCCTTCGACAGGTTTGCGGGACTTCCCCCAAAGTCTTTCCACCTCAATCCATTTAGGCTCCCACCATTCCGAGTGGTTCAGAGCTGGAGACTGGAGAGCGGGCCTCATGTAGGCTCTCTCTGAGATTTAGACGGAGGGGTCTCAAGTGTAGGTCTGTATTTGGGGAGGTTCCTGTGTCCCAGCAGCCGTCTCTCACCCGACTCTGCTCATTTCTCTTCCTTTGTCCAAATCAAACCCAAGAAAGTGATGGGATTGCTAATAACTCAGAGAATGGAATGAAATAATATCATTTCTTTCGCCATGTCATTCTTAACATGCTTTCAGCATTGGTGTCTTCCTGTTCTTTCATGGAGACTAACTCCATGGAACGAGCTCCATGTGTCCTGGGGTCTTCAGCAGCCCGTAGTCACCTTCTCTGACTCCCCTCATCGGACCATTGACTCCCCCCCCCCTACCCGCTCTTTTTTCTTGGTGGTGAATACTAGCATTCCAGGACTGGGGACAGCTTTTACCTGATCAGGCACTCAGAGACTCAGCCTCTGAAAACGAGAATATAATTTATCAGTGTGTGCTCAATGATTCAGAAAGATCCATATGTGCTTTTGTTTCAGCCACTCTAATGAGAATGTGTCAACTTCAGTTAAATTCTTCTATGACTGTGCTCACTCCTGACTGAGCTGAAGTGGCTATGTCTCGGAGAGGGGCTTTGACTGCACGGATAGACTCGCTTTACAGAGATACTTTCTCATCCTAAAGGATTTCTGGGTTAGGGACAGAGTCCTCTTTGGTGGCCAGAAACCAGTGAATCATTCCAGAAGGAACATGACAACATTCTAGCATTATTTTCCACCACTGGTTTTGGAAGGAAAAGAAAAGGGTCTATGGCGGTATCTTGCAGGGTGTGTGATTTAAAGGCATGCAGGACAGGCTGGAGCCAGAGGCCAATGCAGAACAAGATGTCTTATTGTCTAACAGCTCCCAAAGAAAATGGCATTTCTTATAGTTCTCTGCTGAAATGAAGGTCAAAGCTTCTGGTTTGGAGACAGTTCATGTCCCAGGGGGTGGTGGTGGGGTGGGGGGCAGAATATTATACAGCCACAGATCTGTGCTGTCCAAGTAGATAGTGACACACATGAACAGGCAAGGATAAGTATTAATGTTCCATGGAAGGAAAATGATTCTCATCTGAAACCAGCAAGCATTGTGCTTTTGTAGGAAAGAGGAGCCTAAGGATATGAGAGGGGATTTAGTTTGATGCAAACAGAGTTTTCTTTTTCTTTTTCTAACTCTACCCCCACTGCCTTAAGGGTGAAAAATATGTATGGAATGCCACACAGCAGGAACAGAGTGGAGTCTTAGGTAGCTGTGTATGCCCTCTATGGGGACAGTTGGCATCTTATTGTGGCAGTGGTGACAGATGCAAGAGTTCAGAGAAAATGAGGCCGAGTGGCCACTTGACACCCTGAGAATCTCTTCCGATGTCATTATACTTCGAATGTAAAGCTAAGATGTTTTGCCTGATGCCCTGGGCTGAGATTTTCCTGTTGATTTCTTCTTCATGGGCAATTTATATTTTACAATTTGTGTTGCAGACACACACACACACACACACACACACACACACACACACACACACACTCATTCACACTCTCTCTCTCTCTCTCACACACACACACACACACACACACACACACACACTCACACACACACATACTTTATTTTCCTACTTGTTGAATTCCTGTACCACATCTGTCAGTCTCCCTGGAAGATTTTGCAGTCATTTTCTGCTTTTATGGGGACAGCGAGAACCTTGGAGTCCTCTTCAGAAAATGAAATGATCTTGTGGCTTATTGAATTAGAACTCCATCCATAGTTTCCTTCCCATTTGCTACCGTCTCCGAAGGGTGTCGGATTTTGATGACTAGTTCCCAGTGTTTGCTGTTTAGCAACAACCCAAGGAAGTCTGAAGACTGTTGACAAGTTCTGTAATTACTAATTTTTTTTGAGACAACATTTCTCTGTGTATCTCTGGCTGGCTCTATAGACCAGACTCGCCTCGAACTCAGACCTACTTGCCTCTGCCTCTGAGAGCTGGGATTAAAGGTGTATGCTACCATGCCCTGCTAAATGACTAGTGTTTGGACAGCATGCCAGCTACCTACATTTTTATGTCCTAACCCAATGACAGGCTGTTCGTAGAAAACCCACTGTGTGCCAAGCGGAACACTGGGAGTATTATTAGCTTTAATGTTTTTCTGGTAAGCCCTCTTCCTTTTGACGCTATCGCCCTCAGTTTAAGGATTATGATGAGGGCATTAATTACACAAATTCTGGACCCCAGCTGCTTCTTGCTCTAAAGCTCTGTTTCTGTTTTGTATCAGAAACTCCGGGAGCATCCTGCTGGCTTTATGAGGTGATTAGTGCATGCTCCTGACATAGCTTCCTGCGTATGTTCCTGCCAAGGCAGTAGCATCTTACTCCAGATTTGTTACTGTTGCCAATTCTTTTCAGTCTAAGCTGTTTGGTTCTGTTCTCAGCAGAGCATCAGAGTGCCCCACCACCGGTTGACGGACATCACCAGGGATTTTGTGTCACAAGCTGCTGCATGGCACGAGGTGTGCTCCAGCATCAAAGGAACAATGGGGGTTTGGGCTTTCTTTTTACTACAGTGAAGGAATGATAGCAAGAGTTAACTAATTCATGTTCCGAAGAGTTGCTTGACTCAAAGCCTGAGAAGTGTGTGGATACAGCCTGACATCATTTTGAATCCATATACTGAAATTTCCAGGAACCACTCAAGTGTGTTAGCCTTCAGCACACAGAATTATACTGTGCCGATGTGGAGCTAGTCAACAATCATTTGAATTTTGAAAATGTTTGCCACAATACTGTCAAATAAAAGAACACGTGTACAAAATGTATGAAACAAGACATTTAAAATATGGGTAGAGCATACCAACAATTTAGGAAACAATTATAGCATTTAAAAGATTAGATTTCCAAAAATGATCATAAGCTTTCCCAAAATACAGCCCTTGGGACTAACCCTCCAAATTGTCCCCTGTAAAACAGATGCTAGTGACCGTGGGAGACAGACAGGGGAACCTCTCTCTCTCTCTCTCTCTTTCTTTTTTTTCTTAGAAGGTTAGAGCGACCATTCATGCTTTTCAGAAGCTGAGACCTCTGCAGTAAGAAATCCCAGTGTTCCTTCAGCCTTTTGTTTCTCAAAAGTACTTGACCAAGGACTTGCTGACTTTTTTTTTTTTTTAAATATCTTCTAACATCCTATAGACCAGCCTTTAGGACCCTCTGGGTGGTTATAATAGTGCCCTTTCATGTGGAATCTTCTGTCAGCTACTGAAAATTCCAATCACATAGTCGGTTATTCTGCAGGGCAGAACTTACAACATGAACATTTATAGTTGTAGCAAACACGCATTTGGGCTGGTTTGTTTGTGTTCACCTTCCCACAGACCAGTATGTAAGCTAGTCCCCCTTTTCTGTGGTTCCTGTTTTCCGATTTCAGCTACCTTTGATGAACTCTGGTCTGAAACAACACAGCAGAAGAACCCAGAAACAACCAATTCATATATCTT